GAGTAACGGTCCCGAATCTAATGAACAATACAAGCGCGCCGCACGCGCTACTCAAGTGACTTTCACCGGGAGAATTAAGTCGAAAATTTCCCTCCCACCACTTCGTTCCTCGCCGAACAACGCCCCGGCGGCCCGAGTAGAAAGGATCGAACTTTGGCAAAACGACACACTAATTCGTAGCTCCCACGACGGAAGATTACGACCATTTGAAAAAACGACGAAGGCTTACGACACAAACATACAAAAACAGCCATCGTGTCAACGCAACGCTTTAACACTAGACAATACAATACTGAAAACCTACGTACCGATCACGAGCAACGCTTGAATCGCCAGAATCGGTTCCAGCTGCAACCGGCGCTGCATAATCAACCACGAAGGCGAACAGCATAGACAATCGTAAGGATACAGGCACCCATACACAAAGCGAAGCAAGATGAGACCGTTACCAACGAGAACCAACGACACAAAGCACAGCGAAACACTTCCCGCTCACGCCTTGAAACAGCGCACTAATGCCGCACCGTCGACGCTTTAACGAATTCTACAAAAGTCTTTTATTCTATACAACTGCTGATTTTCAGGTACAGTCAATTGAAACCAGGTGCGATACTTCACGTCAACTCCGCACATAACCTCCTTGTAAATGGTTCGGCAAATATATGCAAAGGGTGTGAATGTATTTTAGTGGCAAATTTTCAGGTTAATTCATTTTATCAGTGTACCAGCTGAAACTAAGGCTTCTACATAAGCTTCACCGAACTCCATTATAATCAATCGCAAGGAGAAACGGAAGCAAAAGATTAAGCAAACGCCGTATGGAGCTGAAAATTCATAAATTTTTATCTTACTGTTCCGCTAGCTATAGAGCTTAACTGAAGAATGAGTTAGTTTTAGCTAAATCTGAATTTCTGCTTAAAATTTTATCGTTGTTCCTTTTAGAAAGCAGTCACTGAGGCAGATGGCCTTGTAGCTAAAAGTCTTTTCTTCCCTCATCATCTATTGTTAATATCTATCTCTAAAGCATGCACGGCAAACGACTTGGTAGATATACAAACTCGTGATTTTCCGACTGCTAATCCAACTCTTTGATGAGCCATCTTGATTTCAAACGTAGTATCTCCTTTACATCGTGATTGCAATTAAGGATTCAAAGGCGGAATAAGGTAGTGAAGTCAGTTTAATTTATATTTATATTATTATCCATTATAACAGCAATTAAGACCTATCGAACTATAAATATTTAATTCGATAATAACTTTTTCAGAAATCATTAAAACTGAAAACCATGAATTTTCGGTGCAGTATCAGTTCTGTTTTAATGTGGACGAGCATTGCCTGCGAGGTTTCGCATGCACTATACCTGCAGATGCGAGTCAGCAATTTTCTGATGCTTGATCAAACAGAGGCGCGTTTGTAGAATGATTGTCATTTAAATCGTCAAAGTTATGAAGTAATCGCCAAAGAAAGTCGATGACTTCCTTGAATTAACATTACACATAAGATTAATTCTGTGTATAGTCTTGAGAGTGACTGAAACATGGTTACTGCTTGATTCCGACTGTTCCATCAATAATGAATGTTTAACAAAATCTGCGATTGTCTTCAGCCCTATAAAAGCTGCTAGAATATTATTAAAATGGAGTTACCACGAATAGCTTTAGCCCGTAATACATGAATGGAGTACAGATCTTTCCCATTGCACGTTCATATATGCATAGGTCACGAAACCCATAAACAAACATGCCCCATATTGGGATTTTGACTTTATTTGGTGCAGGTGAATGGATAAAGTTTTGAAGGGAATTCTTTTAGTTGCGTGCAGTGATGCAAGCCCAGTAGATAACGTTATTCTTGTGATTTCTGCTCTACAGTAATTCGCTTCATCTTTCGATGTCCAAATACCTTTCCCCTGTTATTTTCGGTGTCGTACTTAGGAAGTTACTCAACAACCTCTGTAGTTATTTGAAATGAATAATGAATAATTGTGAGTAATTTATCCTACCATTTAGCCTTGAGTATCCTTTCTATTTGACTTGTTTGCCTTCCAATATTGAACAATGTTGTCATTTAGCTAACAAGCTGAATGCTTAATATGTTATGCTCTCATTTCCAAGTGGCTCATTCAGTTTAATCGAAAATGATGCTTGCACTGCATATAAAGGTAATTCCACATATATTTCATTATACTCTCTTATCTTTTAAGGGCGTTACAGTGAACAGGCAGCATATAGGAGTTTATCGATAATTTAATATCTTTTTGAGGTCATTTCTGTCGTGTCTTTTTGTGTGCTCCTTATTAAATAAGCACATGCTGAAATCGCTTGAGCGAAATATCGATCTCCATTGTTCTTTTATAATCTACGATACCTTTCTTTCAGCAATCTTATGGCATGGATTTCTATTTCTACAACATCTGTCAGGATCATTCGAGTGGCTTTTTACGTTATAGTACAATTCTACGACTACTAGTGCAGTTTGTCGTTTGCACTTTCTCAAAAGGGTTGCTCACTTATTTATTTCTGAAGGAAGCAAGGCCAGCAACCCATCCGGGCTCGGACTAAATATTTCTTGACGGTGATTTAGATGTTCTATTTACTGAAAAACTGATCTGCTATTACATAAAGCGTGACACTATTTTCTAATCGATTATGATGAAAATTGTCCAATTATTCATTTGCTTTCATGACATCTGCTAGACAGTTATTAAGTAGCTGTTGCAAATGCTAAAATGGAGTGTAAAAATGAAATAACAACAAAACTGTGCAAATTTTTGTTCTCGAAAGAAATATTTAAAATGCAGTTCCGCGTTCCACATTGATGACGCCGATAATATGAAGCGATCAGCAAACCGTTCGTTTTCGCATTATTTCTGATATACAGAACAGGTGCTTGATCACTAATTCCTATTAGAATGATATGTAAATTTACGGCTTCACGTGTTCAATACTAATCTCCATCTCCTTTTCCAAAATGATCGCTGAATTGCAGAATGACCGAATACGCATGCGATAAAAAGGTGTTCATGTGTGAAATTTCAGCATTTATATTACTTGCTTGCTCGGTACCTTACAAACTATTTATTTCTGTGATTTTCATGAATTGCAAAGTAAGGAGCAGGCCTATATA